TCACTGATCAGGACTCTTCAGTTCAATTTGTCAAAATGAGGCTCCCTCTTCAGCTCCTGGGGCTGCTGCTGCTCTGGATCACTGGTAAGGACACAGGGAGATGAAGAAGGGCATGTGGTGAGATTGTTAGTTCCGGGGTCCCACGGCTGCCAGTGTGAGTTCTGTTCATTTGTGAGATGTGCAGCGCTGTCACAAAGCACGGGTGAGTGAGGTGAGTGAGGTGAAGAAAATACCTAAAGGAGTCCAAGTATGGCCTCTCATGAAGACTGCTACCAACAAAGACAGGGATGGTCAGATGAATTCTAGAGGGTTCCCTGCCACTAGAAATCTTGGGAGCCAAAGCAAAATTGAAATTTTTCATTTTATATTAAAATAATATAAAATTTAGCTTGATAATTACCAAAAATAGAAAACTATGAACATGGCTTATGATATTTGCAAATGAAATTTCACTTCTCCTTCCTCATTTCAGGATCCACAGGAGATGTTGTGATGACCCAGACCCCACTCACTCTGTCTGTCTCCCCTGGAGAGACGGCCTCCATCTCCTGCACGTCCAGTCAGAGCCTCGTACATAGTGATGGAAAAACCTACTTGAATTGGCTTGTGCACAAGCCAGGCCAGGCTCCACGGGGCATGATTTATCAGGTTTCCAAAAAGTACTCTTGGGTCCCAGACAGGTTCAGTGGCAGTGGGTCAGGGACAGAGTTCACACTCACAATCAGCAGGGTGGAGGCTGAGGACGCAGGAGTTTATTACTGTATGCAAGGTTTATATGTTCCTCCCACAGTGATACAGCCCCGAACACAAACCTCCCTGCCTGGGGAGGCCCAGCTGCCCTCGTGCGCTGCTGTCTGGGGAGCAGCACAGCAGTCTGTTCTGTGTGAGAGGAAGAGGTTGAAGAACTCAGAACAACAAGCTGCAGCTGAGGCCTCTGCTCAGGACAGGGAGTGAGGAGGACAACAGGGCTGCAAGGACCTGTGCTCTGGTGAGGATGTGACACACACTGAGGACAGAGCTGACTTCCGGGGATCTATTAAGCCTTTGAAATTCTGTTCTATATAAAACTAAATAAAACCAAATTCAACACACAACAGTGAACTTAGGCTACAGTGATTAATAACATAGAAATGCTTACAAGATTTGTACTTACCTTGCACTTCCCTCTTATCATGTCATGATCCAGTGGGGATTTAGTGACCATGCATTGCTCTCTCAGCCTGTCTCCCACTCCTGGAGAACCGCCCCACCTCAGGAGGGCAGAGGGGAAGAGATCACTTCTGGGCTTGCAAGGCTGGGCTTTGTGTGACTCCATGGACTATCAGGAAGTGGTGCATCATGCAGGGCTCTTGGTCTTGCTGACCCCACAGTGAGTACAGATCCGGGCCTAAAGAATCTTCCATCACGTCCCGTCTCTCTGCTCCATCCAGCAAGGCAAAGGTGAACATCCAAATTGTGACTGTCTCATCCTGTGGTGGCGGTGACCTGAGAGAAGTCGAAGGATCCTCTTTGGTGGTATCCAGGAATATGTCTACCATACACAAGGGGCACACAAATACTCAGAATTTCCCACAGCAA